CCCCAAAACCCCAAAACCCCAAAACCCCATCTGTCATTAATATGAGCTATTATTGGAAGCAGTAAAAAAAAAGTTTAAACTTTAAATTTTACATTAATCTAAAGATTTGATTTATCAAAGAATTAAGTGGGATACCAACAAATCTCATAATATAAGTCTTTATGTTCATTAAGTCTTAAACCTTATATTTTCAATATGGTTGCCTTTCATTCATTAACTATTAGCTCTTTAATTATATTCTACAAGACCGATTTACCTATCTTCACTTTCCAAATGTTTCCTCTACCATCTTCCAATTTTCTCAGAATAAATATTTCAAATTTATCAGGAAACTCTTAGGAGTATACTCCACAATTTTTACTTGAACTTAATATTTGGTTGATAGCATTAAGTTTTTTGAAAATATCAAAATCAAATGTCCCCTTATTGAAATCAATAAGAACTCCAATTCTATGATTAGTTAATTTAAGAATGACGGGCCTATCTCCTGGCTGGGAAAACTTTTAGTTCAACATAACTATTTTATCATCAACTAGCATTTTTAGCATATGCTCACTCTTGCTCACTCTATCTATGAACAATGCTTAAATATTCTCATAACAAAATGCTGAATTGACAATATTGCAAATCTATGTTTAACTTATTAGCGATTAATGGGTTATTTAATCTTTTCTTTGAATGTCCTATTTTTCTTTGAGAGTCAAAGTGAAAGGCATTACCTCAATATTCAACTCATAAAAATTCATCGATTTCATATTCCTAAAACAGATTTCATGCTAGAATTATTTTTGTTTGCAAATTTTTTAGACTTAGAGCCAGTTTTCATTTCTAGGCATGAAAAACGTCTGCTCTATGACTAGAGTCTCTATATTTAGGATTTAAAGTTGCGCCATGTTTTTAAACCAGAGTGCGTATAAATAATTATTCAGCTTAATCACTTGAGGTTTGGCCTGAATATCTAATGGAAATGTTTTAATTGACTTTTTCTTTTTATTGATACTCAAAAATCTATTCTCCAGTATTAGATAAGCAGTCATATATTTTGGAGTGCAAGTAATTAACTGTGCAAAACAAGATGGCTCTTTATGAATTAGCTTGAGATTTTTTTGAAATAAAATATAGTTCATTTCTTCATCCCTTACATAGGAAAGAATCATATTGCACTTGGTTTGAAAGATTTAAGGGAAACTTTTGATTACACCTTGCTTTACTTTGATTTTACCAAATCTAGATTCTTCTTTGAAAGACTAGAAAAAATAATTCTGGTTTCTATCACACATTTATCTAATTATATTAAATGTTAGTTGAATAAGACAAAATAATACACGTAATTAAAGTTAATACTATTAAATACTTCCCAAGAAAATCAAATTTATCACATATCAATTAAGAAAAATTTTCACATCATGGGGTTTTGGGGTTTTGGGG